TATATCGGAAGGAGACGTGAACTTCTTGTTAAATGCTTTCCCGCGGTGCTCTGTGATAAAACCGTAAGAACTTCTAGGACTACCTAAAAAAACTACAAAAAAAAATTGTTATTAAATATAACTTTAATAACAATTTTTGAGGACCCGTAGAAGACCATATAGTCTCGTCGTTGAGTACATTGAGAGCAACAAATAAAAGTTAGAGAATGGATTCACGAGTAAAATTATGGCTAGCCTAATAAAGAGAAACAACCTTAACTAATGCTAAATTTTCATATATTTTCATATTCATATATATCAATATTTTGTGTAAACAAAGAAGTCAGTAGTGAATAGTAATCCGAGAAGACGTAAGTTAAAGGACTAAGTTAGAGTGTTTCTATTTGTTAATAAAGACGTAAGTTAGAGGACTAAGTTAAAGTGTTTCTATTCATTAATAAATATGTAAGCTAGAGGACTCTTAAGAGAGTTTCTATTCATTAACAAAAAAATATCATTAGTATTGCAATAGTTATTAGCAGTAAAAAACTTTTTGTTTAAAAATAAAAGTTGTTTAATCCTAATAATTATTAATGTTTACTGCTAGTAATTAAAATTCACTATCCAGTAGACATGCATCATCCGGGGAAAGTCTATCGTTTATTTAACGGACTTCTGGACGTTCGTGATACGTCCAACGGATTTCCCACGGACGACGCGTGCCCACTGGGTAGCCGCTGCAAACCTTGAGCTGTCACAAAAAAGAGAGATCAAGTTTATTTTAAGCAGTCACAATTTATTGACTTTCTGTTATTATGAATATCAATTTTAAGGAAGAATTATAAAGATGAAGAACAACACAAGATAAAGGTTGGAACCTTGTTCTACCACAAAAGTTAATGAAAATAAAGGAATGTATTTTCCATCAAAGATAACTTTAATACTGCCATTAGAAAGGAATGAATAAATAATTTTAAAAGCATTCCTAGATAAACGAAATGAAGCAAGTTTAAAGAAAAGATCACAGTGGCGTAGCTAGGTTAGAGGGGGGAAGGAGGAACCGACATGTCTCAGGGCACAACGTTAGGGGACGCTAAAATAAATAAAAATAAAAATAATTTATTAATTTTATTTTGATGTAAATTAAATTGCAAGAGATGCAAGACTTTCTGCAAAAGAAGAAATTGCACGTGTGATAGACAGTGTATTTAATAGACTCCAACAGGAGATATTAATACAGTTTTTAGGTTTTAAAAAAAACACACTAAATTTGGATTTTTACTAGTTATTTGACAACGTAATTGACGAGTTTGCGATAGTAAAATCAAAGAGTATAAATTTGTTGGAAATTATGTCCAGTTATGTTTAATTAGAGTATATTTTATATTTTTATACATGTAAATTGTTTACAATCGTATAATTTATTATTAGTTTGTATTCTACTTCATTAAAGTGCCATATGCTTTGAAAATAAACCATATTATATATAGTTCATTGTTAAATATTATTGTTATATTTTATATCGTTTATATAAACCGTAAAATTTCTAGATTTTCTTAGGAACTCAGTAAGTCCCCACACTCTGTGGAGTCAAGGCAGAGCGCAGACCTTGTGTTATTTAGGCACAGATGACAATAGCTATGCTATGGATTATGTCATTGCATGGATATGGTCGCCCCGGGAAGCAGTAGATCAAGAGAATCGAAAATCGTATTGATGGTTAGAAAACTGTTTAGTTCAAAAGAAGATATTAGAAATTTATTTTTTAAATAGACTTTGCTTATAATAATAAAGAAGACGTATTACACTTATTCGATGTTTAGTCACATTTGACTCGATGTCACATTTGACTCGATGACATCAGAGAGATCTGAGCAATCTTCGGAGTTTTTAAAAATTAAAACCACGTGGTTCTAATTTTTTAAATTGAAAATAAGATGTAAATCCTATTTTCAATTTTAACATGCTATTTTCTAGCAGATAAGAAAAGATTTAGTTAATAAATTTTTAGTTAATGATGAGAGTTTTAGACATTGGTAAGACTTTAACTAGAGTCACAAATTGTAAAAGACATTGGTAAGACTTTAACTAGAGTCACAAATTGTAAAAGGTGAAGAAACAAGGAAGGTGAGAAATTGCTTTAGTAACAGAAGTAAGTGTGGTATGAATGCTTGACGATGGATTAACTACTTGGTTGACTTGATCAAAAACAGCTTCAAAAAGAATTGGGAGGAAGGAAAACAATAATGCACAAAAAGAAAGGTGATTAAGTAAAAAGGTGCTAAGCAAAAGCACATAGTAGAACAGTCTAAAAGTTCAAACCTGAGATTTAAAGTAGACGAAATTAAGTTAATCTTACAAAGAACAAACAGGTCTGGCAAAAGGTAGGATTTAATATTGAAAAATTCTAACACAAATTTGAATATATACTAGCCTATTAGATAAAGAAAAGATTTTTTCTGTTTACCCCTAAAGTGTTAGGAGGCCACTTTAATACATTTCAAACCGCAATGTATTAGGCCGCTATTTTTTTCTCCATTAAATACAAACTTGATATTTACAAACTTTTGCGATAATTTAAGTTAATTGAATAACAACTCTCAAAAATATTCGTTGCAAGTCTGCTTAAAAGACAAAAAAAAACTTAAAAACTATTACCGCTATAAAACACGTGGTCACCGAATATTGTTGCGTTTTCCACAATGGAATTACAACCTACTATTTTGCACATTTAAAATGTGGTTAAATTTTAAAATGTCGTGATCAAATTCAAAATGTGTTTTATATTAACTTTCCATATAATTGCAAATCTAGCTTTTCCATGTATTGAATTAAAAGTTATACCACATTAAGTGGCATAATTATGCCAACCGCATGATGTAATTCATATCGTCGGTAGACAAATATAAGTCCATTTTTGGTAGTATGGAGTTATTTATACCGCTATTTAGTATTTTAAATTCTCTATCGTTTGATATACCGCACAAATTTAATAAATCGATTATTAATGAGTTATTAAATTTTTATTTCTACTATTACTTAAAAACTTATAACTTTAACTATTACGCAAAAATATATTTGTTTATTATCTCAAAATGATGTTTTTGGACTTTTTGCATTTCTCTTGTATACCGACGATATGTATGTCACGCTAATTATCAGTTTATATATCAATATAAACTAGTGTTTATTACCTATATGTAAATCAATATGTAAATCAATATATAAATCGATAAATAAATCGATGTATAAATTTATATATATTTATCGATATATATAATTATATGATATATACTTTTTAGGTCCGAAGTTGAATCAGACTTTACAATAAATTTTATAAATAAACATTTTTATATGTAAATTTCATCGTAAATTTTAATTCAACTTTACACCGATAAAGTTTACCGATGTATTATATCTATTTATAATTTTTTTGATTAGTGTTATTCCTTTGATCAGACTTCTGTTTTTTATATTGCATAGTTAACAAATGATAAAGTTATGATGTTAGGTGTAATATCATAAAAGTTTTTTTTTCTTAAAATGAGTTGATAAAGACAACATAGATATGTTCACACTGATGTTATCAGTTTTATTTAATCTATTGTAAATTTAGTTTTAATTACACTCAATGCGTTTTCTTACTTACAAACCATTTATTTATTCTTACATACAGCTTTATACTTATAGCATTCATTCTTACATTCAAATCATTCATTATCTAATCGCTCAATACCAGTTTTTAAAATGTTTACTGTGTATTTAAAATATTAATGTGTGAATAAAAAAAACGAGTTAAGCCTTAGAGAACCCCGTAGTCTCTCCCAAGGAGAGCCCCGTAGTTTCTCCCAAGGAGAGCCCCGTAGTCTCTCCCAAGGAGAGCCCCCGTAGTCTCTCCCAAGGAGAGCCCCGTAGTAATCTCAAGGAGAGCCACGCAAGATGTTTAGAGTTTAACTGTTGTTTTTTTTATTATACCAAGCTGATTTCTGTTTATTATAGAATTCTGTTTATTATAGAAGCTGTTTTATTCTGTTTATTATAGAAACTACATTCTGTTTGTAAGATAAAATTCAATCAGTGTAGATTTTTGTTTCTAACGTCATAATGCTCAAGTTTATTTAGCAGTGTATCTAAGTTCTCGTTATCAAAGACTACGGACGAACTAATGAAAATTCTTAATGTAAAATAATCATTATTTAGAGCGTCAGTGTTGTTATTGGTTAGTTCAACTATTGAACGTTCAGTTGAATTCATTTTTATTAAAACCGGACTGATTTCTGCAATTGTTTTAAAACCGGACTGATTTCTGCAATTGTTTTAAAACCGGACTGATTTCTGCAATTGTTTTTCGTTAGATAATCAAGATCTGTTTTATGACACGATTGCGTAATTTTGAGAAACTAAGCAACATAAAAATTCGTCTGCAATTTGAGTTATTGGACTCCTACTCCTAAAAGTTGCAATAATTTAGTAGTATTTAACTCATCAGACACAATCTCAAAGTTAAAAGAAATCTTAATGAAATAAATTAATGAAAACTGAATGACATTAAACTCAGGTTTTACAACATTAATGCCAATGTTATCAAAACTTGCGCTTTTATTTTTTTTTAAACTGTTAAAAGCATTTTTGTTTTTAAACATTCGTTTATAAGTATATTGAATCTTTTTAAATAAAAATCAAATTATTGCGAAGTTCGCCAGAATTTTTTTAATTTAGTTTTGTCTAATATTAATAAAGGGTAGAACAGTATACAGTAACAGCTTCGATAGAACAATTGTCTGTTTCGTTTTTTTTTTTCAATTATTTTTTTCTCAGAAACATGTTATGCAATATTGAGTGTTTTTCTTTTTTTTTTATTGTTTTGCATAATTTTTTGTTTTTCTTAATAGATTTTTAACATTTGCAAATTGCCTTATTTTTTATTTATGTATTGTTTTATTATTTATGTTTTTTTTTTCCAGTTTGTCAAATGTTCTCGAGGTTTTTTATTAAACTGTAAATTATATTATACAATAAAATTTCTTTTAGAAAAAAAAAGAATGACCTCTTGGGTTTTCATATTATTGAACGTGTTGTTATTCACTTTAGCTATATCATCAAATAAAGATACAGTTAAGAAAGGTGCGTGAATAAAATTTATGCCTGAAACTTGAAATAATTTTATATCTAATTGCATAAATTAATAAAACTTGTCGGATACAAGATTATAATTACATTTATCTGACAAACTATTTACTCATGAGCAAGTAAAGTTTAACTGACAGAGAGCAAGTATTAGAATGTTTTATTTGAAAAAAATTTTTGTTACAAAATAGAGAATGATTGTGCTTAGCAAACGGGTTTTAAAGACAGTGGAATTATTTAATAAATTTGGTTTTTAAAAACATTTTTTTTTTTCATATTAGCCATATAATACATTATAAATGTTAAGACTAAGTTAATACAGGTACATATCTTTACGTCTTCTTATATTAGTTTAAATTCCAAAATTTTTTTTTGAAATAATCAAGGTAATATTACTTAAACATTGATTTTTTATCAACGTTTTTGTAGTATTTACCTTAAGCCAGCATTTATGCTATAAAACTATTTGACTCAGAATTTTCTACAAAACTGGTTCCAACTTGGTTTTAACCAATACCTGGTTTTAGATTATATATTTATTTTTAGAAATTTTTTTTAGAAAATCATTTTTTTTCAGATTGCAAATTTAATTTCAGAAACCTTTAAGTGAAAACATATGTCGTTAAAGCAGGTAAAAAAGCGATAGGTCTATCTAAAACAGAAAACAAAAAACCATGAAAACTTACTTAAAAAAATTGCCTTAATTACCCAACTTAACTGGCATTAACAATAGATGCAGTTGATTTATCAAAGATTAAATTACGCACCTTTACTTCTGCTATCTGTCAAAGATCTCTTCCTCGATTCTTCAAAGCAACTTCTACAACACTTGCAGTAGTTGAGTTTAAGGTCGATGTACTTGGTTTATTCTGAAAGTCCCAATTTGAAATAATATCCGGACTTGTAGTACTGTTATCTTCCTCTCAGTTTTCTTACTCATTTCTGCCAATTTTCACACTCACGGGGGCAACAGTTTTAAACTGTAACCATTGTCGTTCTATTCTAGCCTTGGTGTTTTTGGCTTGTTCTCACCATCTCTTTTAAACCAATTTACTTTTACACAAGACATCTATATATTTCCAACTTACCATCGTAAAAGACTAGCTTAATAGAATTTTATGCTGCTCGCAAACCATACCTTTACTGAGTCTGTTTAGTAAGTATGTTATATGCTTAATGGCTGCTTGAAAAACACGAGAGTATACTTTGCTTTAGATTTAGACTCTAAAATAAATTGTAAACAGCCTACTATTTATAGTAATCAACTTTTTTATATTGTGAAACTGATTTTATATTTCAGTCACCTTTAGTTATACTTGATTCGTCTTCATATTTGTTTTTAAGTATATTCTTTTTTTTCCCCATAATATGTAATCTAACTGATAAACACCCGGGTAACTGATTGAATATAAATTAACTATATATATTACGTAACATGTTAGTAATTATTAAAAATTAATAACATGTTACATATAATAAACTAAAGTGTCTCTTTAAAGTTGCATCTCATGCTCAGTACAAAATTTTTCAAAAGGACAAATACTTCTGTCGGAAGAATGCAACTTATGAATAGAATGTGCTAGCAAGGATAAAAGTGAAATATTATTTTTTACAAAAATCAAGAACTGTTGATTATTGCTGCTAATATCTAAAAATATTGCGGAATTTTTTTAAATACCCAAACAATGTAACCAACTTATTTAAATAAATCAAAATGATGTAGGAGGAACGTCAACCAAGCAAACTGTTCAAAATTTTACTTCGACAAATCAAAAGTTTATAACAAGATACTTCACTCTAAACTATCAGTCTAGAGTGTAATATCTTGTCAACATTTTTAGAAAGAAAATAGATTGCTACAAACCTTCAACTTAATTCTTAGTTTCTTAAAGGGCATAACCTTTAAATAAACTTGACTGGACCAACCTGTACTTATGGCCAACGTGCTTGCTCTACCCTACCGATAATTATAATAATTATTTTGTGATCAAACTTAATGTAATTTCATGTATGCAGTTTTATATGTAATTTTAATACTTTTTATATATACTTTCTCTATATGCAATTAAGCAGCATTAAGCTTATTTCAGAGTTCTTCCTCATTTTTACTCTCTGCTCAGTTAATTCTCCTCGTTTTTACTCTTTTAATATTTGATAGCAAGTTGATTTTATAGTTTATTTTAAAACAAGTTTAAAAATGAACTATTTTGATATATTGATAATTCAATATATAAGGATTGTCGATATATTGAGACACAATATTGTAAAGATGAAGTGAGCTGTAATTATTGTCAAAAAGAGACTAAGCATTCAAGTGCAAATTTCCTACCCTCAGCGTTGAACTTCACGTCGACCGTCGAATTTTGACATTTGAAACATTGTCATTTTTCTGTCTTTCCAACTATCAACATGAGCAGCTTTTCACCACCCCTATTTCCTGCTGCTATACCTATTAAACAAATCTGCTCCCAGCTTGCTGTCATTTTTTCTGTGTACGCTCGTTCTTTGCACATCTTTATCGACGGAATCATGCATTTCAAAATTAGAATTTTGTCTCATTGTCACAAATGAACCAGAATCATTCTTGCTTATTGCGTTACTAACTGCTTCACTCATAATCCAGTAAGTAAAAATGTTTTGAGAAACAATAAACACTATATTTTTTTATCTTATAAAGCAAGCAAGCTGTTGACATTGTAGAAGTTAACGTTTCATTGTAATACCAAGTTTATTAATCAAAATGTTATTTTAACATTGTTAAACGTTTTAGTTTCAATAAATTCATTAAAAAACTTGTGCTTTCTTTTGCTATATCAAATTTAATGTAGGTTGCGCAACAGTATTGAGGAATTAATTCAGGATTAAAGAATAACGGTAAGAAATATGGCGGCAATGCTTTTCTTAGATGCTGAACTAAAATAATCAAGAACATAATATAGGTTGGTTTGCTTTCTGAAGTAGTGGCTCATATTACCAGTCTTGCAATAGGCTAAAAACGATAACAGGATTCTGAAGGGAATTAAACATAAGGATCGGGAATAACTATTAAAATTACGCAGTTTACTGATAGGTGAGATTGACTTCGGCGTTGACTTCGGTGCCGAATTCGAAATAGAAATTTTACTTACAGTTAATTTTAGTTACAATTGTAAAATTTCATTTAATTTTAAGCTAAATTCGAAAGCTATAAATTTTATTCAACTAACAAGAAAAATATATATAAATATGTTATATGTTTCATAACTTGTTTCTCCGGCCTTGATCGTCTGTTTTTCCGGCTTGTCGGAGAAACAGACGGTCGGTTTGTGTTTTGGAGTTAAAGAAGGTGATTTTTAAGTTATAGTCGTTTTTTTTTTACCTATATAGTCGGCTAGTAGGTTAAATTTTTGTTTTGAGGACCTTTTTTTTTGTTTTTTGTTTTTTCAAGTAGCTAGTTGGCACTTTTTGAAGATTCACTCTCTCCCCCCCCCCCTCATTTTATTTGTAGAACCGCCTCTGTTTTCATCTCTAATCTTTGGATGACTAATCCACCTTAATCTTTCTAAAAGCAACCCACATCAATCTCTCAATACGCAACTCATCCGATACACTACTTGCAAAATTTTGCCTAAAATCATTTTCTCCTTTTCTTATCTTTTAGAGCCACATCACGCATCCATAAGGTAATCGTTTTCTAAGTTCTTACAAGACGCTAGATGGCTTTAAAAAACTTATATATATCATATATTTTTATATTTTATATAACTCATATAAAGTATAAACTTTAACTTTAAATAAAAGGTTGTCTAGGAAACATTAGGAAAAAAATAGAACTATACTGTTCTTTCATTCTCACTACTATTGATTAATTCAACATTTAATGAAGAACTATTCAAAATAAACGATTGGTTTACAAGCAATAGGCTTTCGTTAAATGTAGAAAAAACTAAATCTATTTTATTTTCCAAACCTAGTAAAGGTGATAATGTTCCTCTAAAATTACCCAATCTCCTAATCAATAAAACATTTATTAAAAGGGAACCAATCGTTAATTTTCTAGAAGTATTAATAGATGAAAATTTGTCATGGAAACCGCATATAAAATATATAGAAAATAAAATATCAAGAAATATTTGTATATTATATAAAACTAAACCATATCTCAACACCTCTTCTCTAAAAAAAATATACTTTTCATTTATTCATAGTTTTATCTCTTACTGCAATATTGTATGGGGTAGTACTAACAATGGTAAGTTGAAAAAACTTCATAGTAACCAAAAACATGCATGCAGGATTATATTTGTTGCCCACAGAACTTTTCAATGTGAACCTCTTTTAAGGAAGCTCAGTGCCCTAAGTGTCTATAAACTTAAAATACACCAAGTTCTACAATTCATGTTTAAAACTAAACATGAACTCTCTCCTATTGTATTTCAGTCTTACTTTAGTGAAATCTCGCACAAGTATCCTACTAAATTTTCAATTGTTGTTCCAAAAACTAATTCAAAACTAAATTCTTACAAAATCCAATACCGCGGACCGTTTTTATGGAAACATTTTTCAAAATTTATCACAAAAAATAATAATGTTCAACACATCTCTTTGGAAAAATTCAGAAAAGAATCTAAGAATCTCTTATTACAAAAAGACTTCGATTTAAAATATCTCTTTTAAAAATAATACACAAATAATATAAATTATCTAAAAAAATAGTTATTGACACTACTTCTCTTTTGTTGCAGTTTAAATATAATTTAATTTTTTATTGAAAAACTTATACTTTTAAATTATTGCTAATCTTTGATATAATGCGTTATATTTCAACACTTATATTTATATTATGTTATTAGTTATGTTATAACTAACATATTTAAAATTCTTGTGTACTTAGCTAATCTTCATTTTTTATATTAACTGACGATTTTTAATGTAAATTTTATGATGGGGCTTGATGATAAGACAATTTATGTCTTCAGCTTGCTCCAGTTCTCTTGTTTATTAACACGATTTATTTC